GTATGATCAAATAGCATAGAAAAATAGAACATTCTTTTCTCTATCAGACTATATAAAAGAAAGTTTCTTTAACCTTTCTATAAGGGATAAAAATACCACTGCCACTACTTTTGGTATGCCCTAAGTAAAAGGCCTGATCACAGTAAACGGAGAAAAAAAAGTATTGTAATTATAGGCTACTTTCAGTATTCGTCAAAGTTAGCGGTAAATAACGCTAGTCTCTGTAACTTACCAACTTTTCTTTTTCAATCAAATATCGAATAGTTTTATTCAATAGAGGTTAAACAAAGTGTACACTTTCCAGCAACATAACGTTTACTTGTTGGATGATTTACTTCCTAAATAACATGCTATATGCATTTTCTGATAACATTTTTTACATTTTGCACTTTGATAGTGTTGAAGATGCTGTGGATTAATCAGTATTTTTAGATGATTACTGTAAATAAGTTGGTCCAAATCCGAACGAAAACGAATGGAACGATTCTTATCAACTGCAAAACTATATGTTATTGTATCACATGGGTCAAACTTTACAGTTAGACTGTCTAATGGCTACATTCCACTTAGTTTTTTACGGAAAAGTTTATAGAAGCCGTCATTCTGCTGTTCACTTGTGTGCTCAATATATATAAGTTTCAAGGGTACTATTCTTGAGTTTTTTCTCTCTTGCTAAGCTAGAATGTGAATTCTTTTTTGTCTTTTTGTTTTGTTCACTTCATTTCAGATTAAAAGCTACAGATGTTCTTAATTTACTAAGTAAAGCTTCAGAGCGATTTGGTTCTAATTCTCTAATAATACACAGATGTCGTGTTGAAGCGAATAAAACTTGTCATAATGTTTTAAGACGTGTGGCCTTTGAAAAGAACTTGCTTCCAACAGTTTATTCTTCAACGCGAAATATGTTTCACCAACAAACATATTTCAGTTTGGAAATGTAGACTTGATTTCTGATTGTGCATAGTCTGATGACTGTTGGTTCAATCTGACTACAGAGGATTGCGGTCATTTTGTATTTTGTTTACAGAAGAAAGCGAGTGCTTTTGTCTCTTTTCCGGAACAATAAGCAATGGTATAGCAGAACTGGCATGACATAACAATACCTTTATAACAGCTGTAGTTCAAAGCTGATCGATTATCTGACAGATATGAGTTCCGAAGGGGACCAAGGGTGTAGAACCCCACAAAACTGTATGCTCTTTCATTCTAGATAACTTTAGAGAAGATCTGAAATGGGACCGATCCTCGTTCTTATTGCATCCCGTCCTTTAGAGCATTTGAGTTATTGAATGTTCTAGAATTATAGAAAAATTAAAGAATTATAGAAATTATGTTAGAATTACTGTCGATATCCGCGTTGTTCGTTATTTATAATTTTTCTTTCATCGAAAATGAGTTTTTCATGGCTTTCACTCGGTTCGTTGTATCAATGAGCGTTTCCTCGACTACGTACCGCTCTCTATCCGCTACTTGAACAGTCATTTCTATCCTCTTCATAATAACTGCCATTTGTTAGTGTCCGTTTGAAAGAATTATATAATCATTCGTTCTATTTACACGATACAACAGACTGGTTCTAAATCTTTTTCTTTATCGTTACGATAAAGACTTCACTTTGTTCTTTTTTGTCTAATGAACATGTCGCTGTCTTATTTATCCAGGGTCGACAAGTACCTCTGTTTTCATCTCTTGAACGGAATCAAAAAACGGTCACAATGACAGAGAGCTTGTTTTAGCATAGACGAGTGAGAAACAAATACTTTTAGAAAATAATCAAACTTTTTTAGCCCAGCTTTTGGATTCGGACAAACTTTTTAATGGGCCGTTAATGGCTGATCAGACCTAATTTAGCTTTTCAATCAACCGATTCGACTATTATATATTTTGAGATTCTAAACGGAGCCAGTTTTTACTAAAATTTAAGCCTGTCGTTCAGTGCAGCTATGTCTAGAGCAATCCACAACAGAGTGAGGCGCTGTTGAGATTTCAAATAAAACTTTGCACACAATTTGGTTGATTAAACACAATTAATCCATATTTCTAGCTTCTATATGCGCTTTTATTTTCTCTGTTGGCCAACCGCACAAGATCGGGCAATGATGAAAAGACTTTCTTTTATTAAATTGACTAGTCACTTATTTATTGACTTAGTCGCTTTATTTTATTGACTAGTCACATTCTGAAATGTAATGCTTTTCCAAAACACGAAGATTATCAAATATATAATGTCAATAATGATGGAATAAGATAAGATGGTGCGATGCTGTATTATGATTTCGAGACAGCCATATTTTACATCTATGAAGGACATTTCTACTGCCACGAGATGGAGGCGAGCTCCACAGGTTCTTAAATTTGCTTAATAAAACAAAAGTATTCAAGTAAGGAACAATTTTTTCGTATCCGTTTTTTCTTCTGTTATTTTTGTTCTTCCACTGCTTTTTTTTCACAGGTAAAGTTTTGTGAAATGATAGTTACTTTTTGGCAATGTATACCCCAAAATCTGTATTTTATCCTTTTAATATTTCGAAATGAAGGAAGCAAGCAAATGGAAGAAAGAAAAAGAGAAACAGTAAAATATATGTTGGTCTAAATCCGTATGAATAATCAACGAGGAGTTCGGAAAACGTCATGATTAAGCAGTATACAGCATTCAGAATTTTGTACTAGTAAAAGACTTTTTTTATATTTTATTTAATTTTCAGATATACAAAATGTCGGCAATATCTATGGTATCATCAACAACTTTACAATTAATTAAAATTGGACAACTAAAACAAACAATTTTTGACGTTGAATTACAATTGAGACAGTTTAGAAAGGAATCTACTCTGATTAATATCAGAATAAATCCAGATCAATTATTATCAATTTTTAAAAAATCAACCAACATCGCTCGAACTCCTTTGGATAACTCTGTTGTACATATGTATTTATCACAAGAAACAAACAATGTGATTAAAAACACGTCCTCGAGATTATCCTCCTCATCGGACGACGACGATGACAACAACAACGATAAAGAAGAAGTACTAGTAACTCAATCGTCACTATGATAGTCTTCTTTTGTGAGGAGAGTATCTCTGCCTATGTTATAGGAAGATTTGGATGGTGTAGAGGAAAGTGATATTCAACTGGTTATGTCAGAAGTAAAAAAAACACGGAAAACGATAAAAGTAAAAGTCATCAAAACATTAAAACGGTATAATAACGATGTGGTTAATGCTATCATGGTAAGAATTTCCCAACGTGGTTATTAAAACATAAACACGTTAGCAAAACACTTTTTCTTATGTTTTCTTCACAGGGATTAGTCAACTAAATTTGATAATCGTTAACTAAAACATTTTTTTATCAATATTGATACAGTTCGTTCTCTGATGTGATACATTCTCATAGAATTTTTATATACTTGTATAATAAATATTCATCCATGAAATACTAGTCCAAAAAGATTTTCTATATTTTTCATATTTTTAATATCTATCATTTGGCAAATTTCCAAACTAAATACAGCTTTATTTTTAATACATTTTAACAGCTAACACAACTCTATTACACTTCTCTCATCTATCAACGACTATGAAAATAACTGAACATGCACAGTAATACTTTAGTGTAGTCAATATAAATTATATCATCTAGTATGAATAGGCGTTGAATTTTTGTTTTCAAGGAAATCGTAAGTTATTTACCGTACAGTGAGAATTCAGGTTATGGAGTGTGCAATCATCCCAGAGGATCTTCTAGGAGGTCCATAAACTCTGATGCTCTAATTATAAACAGTTGTAGTTAACAAGAATCATTTGGTAACGTCTTACAATCCGATTTATTAGTGAATCTTGTATGCTTCCATTAGCGCAAAATAATTAGAATTGAAAATCTGATTATTACTTTTCATTATTTTACATGCACAGCTACTTACTACTTAGTCATGTTTCTTCTTGTCATATACAAATAGCGTCACACTTACATCTCGTTGAGTCTATATTTCAACAGAAAATAGTCTATTTTCATGATTATAAAAGTGGTTTACGTTGTAAAAATGAAGGATGTAAACAACGAATGAAATGGATATGTTCAAAATGTAACATTCACCTATGTGTACATCCTGCACATAATTGTTTTAAATCTTATCACATTCAAAGTTGAAAAATATCTATTTTATGGATTAAAACGTGTGTCAAAAATACGTGTGTTATTGTAAAAAGTATTCTTTCATATGTATTCAGCTTTCGTTTGTTCATTTTAGTCAAACATAAAGAAATCAATGGTATTTTTGTAAAATCAACGCTCTCTCATAAAGAGAAAAATACTAGGATTTTTTCAAGTTGTTCCCCCCCAATGGTCACTGGAGTGACCAAGCTACCCTGCATAAAGAACAAAGTATCTGGTCCATCTGTCCATACCATTGGCATATTGGGGAGGCCAATACTCTATCCCGATGGTTGTTTCATCAGTAGCTCTTCTGGAACCGCTATGGGGGGTAAAGGATTAAATTGTATAAGGAAAAAAATTCAGAATGACTATCGGATGAGGTATGACGTAGAAATCTAACTTTTACCTTCCCGATGGGATTTCAGAGCTAAAAAGTATTTTGAAAAAAGCCTTACGGCTAGTTTCACTCAGCAGAAACAAACATCTTCTTACATATCGCGATGCACTCTATCCAACGAGGTATAAATGAAAAGAAACAACACTAGTGTTGCAAATTCCAATTAGTGGCACGGTATATTCAATCCAAAAAAAAGAATAGTTTATGAGTTGGAGCTATGCCCTTGTATGATTTATCGATGGCTATTCTATGTCATCCCGTCATAGTCATGTTACAACTATATATTATGGCCATCATTATCGTGTGTCTTAACACTAATTCTTTTAACATATTCATATAGTGACATTAAAACTGTGCAATTTGGTATAACCATCATTGCACGTGGCAATGTACCACTCATTAAACCTCTTAGTGCACCACGTTGTTTCACTAATGTAAGCAATGTATGTAGAACTGATGTACGCTGTTTTTGTACTTGTAAACGTGTTTTTAATACATCAATAGGTTGTGTGATTAATGATGCGATACCAGAAGCCAAGACGGCTAGAAGAAAACCAGAGAAAAAATAGGGTGAGAATGACGGCGAGTGAAATTTATCTGTCTCAATGTATAGGATGAAAACGACACTTTTGAACAAGTTTTGCTTGTTTATGATACCTACCAAGATATCTTACAAAAGTGTTGGCACAAATAACCAGAACTTACCTCATATTGTTCGGATCAACTAGCTAAATTTTAGAATTGAACACCGCTAATCTGTAGGAGTTGCCGAAAATAGTTATAGGCAACTTATTGTTCGAGTAGCGAAAAAAATCTGATTTTTTGCGTTTTCTAACGATTCCACGGGAGTTGTAAAGCTTCTCTTGATCGCGTTGGAATCAATCCATATGAAACCTATCACGATACGCAAAACTGTTGGCACAAGCGATGAGACTTACCTCATTTTGTAGATCTCGACATGTTGAATATCTAATGGTGAAAACCACAGGTCTTTAGCTTTGTAGGAAAAAAAGTTGTAGTCATTTTAATCTGTCATCGGAAGTGGTTGAAAAACTTTCAGACTGTATTCTAAGTTCGTTAAGTTTTGTAGAAGCTGAGGCTTTAACATCTTTAACTCAAGATCCAGATATAGAGTTCAATGCACTCTTTCACTTAAGACCAATCTCAATGGTCTACGTTAGAGAATATAGACAAGTCAGGCGAACGACCAGTGCACTTTTCCGCTGAAAGAGTAAAACGACTATAACTTTTTTTCCTACAAAGCTAAAGACCTGTGGTTTTCACCATTCGATTCAACATGTCGAGATCTATAAAATGCGGTAATTCTCGTCGCTTATGTCGATTACTGGTGCAATGATAGTACGTTTCATATTGCTGAAGTCATTGTCAAACTTAGAATTCCGATCTTAGTGTCAAATAAAAGAGTACATCAAACTTCGTATCATTTTAATAAAGGAAAATCATATCCGAACGCTAAGCCTTTGAAAAAGGTGACTGCTAAACGTCTCATAGAAAACTACTTATCTTCAAGCACATTAAAAAATGTTTTTTCAACATAGCACTGGATATTCCGTTGAATTTTCTACAAGATACGGCGGCCACTATCTATAGGGTTTACAATAAATAAGTGGTATAGAAAATACGAACGGTACGAAACCATTCGGCATCAAAGTGGAAACTTTGGCCTTTTGCTATAGCTTACGTTACTGAGCCTATAGCTCATTTATCTCAATCTGTGGAAACACGGTGAACACTCCACTTTATGCAGACTCGAAAAACTGTTTGATCATGTAGTCAGAAGTGTTTTTGAATAGAGTTTAAACTTGACAGGTTCCTAGATAATCGAGACTTTCGAAAACCTTTGCGAGAAGGCAAAGGATGATTCCATTGTGTTTTCTCAGTCCAGACATACAGAACCTCACATGCTCTTTCATCTGATACCACGCTTAAGATTCTACGTTAAGGAATGCGATCCTAAGCGGTTAGACAAGTTAGAAGACATTGAGAGGAAATATACGAAAAATGTATTTTGCCGCTTTGAGAGTATAACGACTATAATGTGTTATCGTGCAATAGATAGGACCCACGTACTTATTTTACCATATGATTCAGCTCACCAAACTCTACAAAAGGAAGTGACTTCCGTCGTTTGCATCAAGCCGTTTGTATATCGTAATACGTATTATATTGATTGATTTCGTACTCCTAATCGATTTGAAACTTTCTTACCGGATAGAGGCGACGTTATATAATCATATTTTCGTGTTAATATTATTTCTAAATGATGTTGTATACGCCAATACAATGTCCATATAATCGATGAAAATGGTACATTAATTGCTAATGTAATTAGGTAACCTTTATAAAAACCGCGTAGACCATCACCGGATTTATGATAAACTGAATCAATAACATTACGGACACCATATCGGCCGGACGGAGTCTCACGATCATAATACGGTTTAATCATTAGACGTTGCATCATTAAATCACATGGAACTAAAATATTTATGAGTAAATGCTAATTTGTACTAAAAACAGGCTAGCTATTAAGTTAAAAAAGTTTGAACTTTTCTCTTCGTATTTTATTATATTAATGAAGTAATACAATTAACTAAACGTTTCGATATGTTAACATATCATCCTCAGTAATTAAGAAACGAAATATTTTATAGATCCATAATCTAAATTATAACAAATTTTCCCGAAAAATTTGAAAATGTTAACATAATTTTTGTAATAATATTATAAGAGTTGCTAAACATCATACATAAGATTTATCTATATTTCTTATTATCTGTCTTCTCAGATCATACCTAGCATTTTCTTTTCTATACATCTCTCCTTCTTTCTCTCCTTTCTCTTCTGCTTTTAAACTATTTTTCTTTTCTTTCTTTATCTGTTTGTGTATTCTACCACTGTCTTTTTTTATCCACCTATCTATCGTTGGTCTCCATTGATGACTGATTCTTGTTTATACTGTTGTACGATTTGTTGGCAATAGAATATACACTTTCTAACCTTTTTCGTTTGAAAATGTTTGACTCAGCGTCGAAAATTACACTCTCTTCGAATTTGATTTTTTTTTACATGCAACAGTATGTTTAGCTATCTCTGACAATTCAACTTTTTCTTTGGCTACGTAATTTTGATGCTGTTTAACTCTCCTGTCGAAACACTCACTTTCACCTACATACACTGAGCTACATTCGCAGTAAATGCCATAAATAGCATTTACATCCTATACAATTTTTTGATTCCTTTTTAAGTTGGTTGCATGCTACCATTCTGGTTTTATTCAAGATATCTCCTATATTCTTTGAGTGTTTTGTAAATATTCGAACATTTTCTTTCCTCAAATTTTGTTTAAGCCTTTCTGTCATACCTTTCAAGTGTGGCATAACTACAGTGGATGTATATATTCCGTTATCCTCGTTCTTACTGTTATGGTTTTTCCTAATGTTTCTAACTTTATTCTTTATAGTTTTTGTGGAAGAGTTAGGATAACTACTATTTTGCAGTAATTGACAAAGAGCTGTGATGTCTGATTTGTTAGTTTCATTTTTATTTATCATCATTATTTTATTGAGCATATTACTAGCAATGTTCTGTTTAATGGTTTCATTCTGATCCGACCTAAAATCTAATAATGATTTTAGCTGCTGTTGGTTTTCGATACCACGTTGTCTTAAATTTGAAGGCTAGCTATTGATCATGCAAAAAGTTGTGCGTGTAAAAGGACAAGTTGCGATAAGGCTGCGTCTCTGCCCACAAACTAAAACGCATAGATTAGACTCAGCCAAATTCAAAATTAAAATCATACGATGTAGCTAGTAAAATTGGTCTTTTAGTCTAGCTCCCTATAGTTGCAAACTGTCCCGTAATGTGTGAGAAAAGTAAGAATACTAATTTTTCTCGCTAAATATGACTATGTTTCAAAATATAGCAAACTCTGATGTTTTTTAATAACTGTAGAATGACAAGAGCTGGAGACCGCCGGTTTTCAGTTTCTTAAAAAAATAGACAACGCAGCATATAGATCTATGAAATAATGAAGCTTCCAGAAAAGATCTACCAATAAAGATGTACCATACGAATCTAAAAACCTGAGCGTGTTATAACATTATAGTTGTTATACTCTCAAAGCGGCAATATACATTTTTCGTATATTTTTTCTCAATGTCTTCTAACTTGTCAAACCACTTAGGATCGCATTCCTTAACGTAGAATCTTGAGCATGGTATCAGATGAAAGAGCATGTGAGGTTCTGTATGTCTGGACTGAGAAAACACAATGGAATCATCCTTTGCCTTCTCGCAAAGGTTTTCGAAAGTCTCGATTATCTAGGAACCTGTCAAGTTTAAACTCTATTCAAAAACACTTCTGACTACATGATCAAACAATTTTTCAGGTCGACATAAGGTGAGCGATAAAAATATACATAGTGACTACCTAGGCTTGAAAATGCTACAGCAACATATCCGCTTTACATTAGCACAAGTCTCAGGACTCCATCTACTATGGTTCAGGAACTGCACGCATTCTTCAGAGACCTATCCGCCGTATAAACGTTAAGCCTGGAAAGTCAAAAAGACCTTGATTTATATGTTTCCAAGTGAGCTGTATAACGTGACAATACTTATTTTATTGTGCCACACTGTTTCTTAACCGAATCTTTATGTACGATTATATTGAACTGAGGGGTCACAAGGACTACTAGATACTAGTCTCGTCTTCGCTTTGTTCTTCCTCATTATCATTCATCTGCTCCTCCTGATCATCATCTGTTTCTGGCTCCGACTCATTCTTCATCCAATCATCTGCTTATTTAAAAGTCTGTTCATATTTTTTCACATGTTCATAATATCCATGAAAACCAGTCCAACAGCAGCCATATGTTTCAAAATTTAATTATGAGCAATATAACTACACGAAGATTTGTATTATAGCTTATTTGAAAACTAACTATAAATCAAGTTTCTTTTTTGGCTTCACAGGGGTAACGTTTTTCCAGCGGACGGGTCTCCGTAGACTGCCTGCAGTTTCTGAATCAGGGTAGATGAGCTCATGAGACCTGTGCCAATGTATAGAGGAGATGTTACTGTATATTTAGAAGCGTTTTCAGTCTTAAGTCACTATGTATTAATCTTGAAAAAATATGCAAAACTAGATGAAGCGTGTTTAAATCTTCCAACCGACTGTAGCCTGTTGTGAATCGAGTGCTGTCATATCGAGCCGGCAGTACTAAGTATATGAAAACAGAATGCAGCTAGATGTTGTTTGAATAAACTTTTGAAAACAGCAAACTAGAAGAGCGCGGCTGGTAATTTCTGACACTAGACAGTTGGGCCTATAATTTCAGGAAACATTCAATTTCTCGATAAGCCTCATGCTGACGAGCCTTTGGACTGAAAAAGTCCCAGCTTGTTATTCGACGAAGTAACGCAGTGAGCTGTACTCAAAATCTTCTGCAGTTATACAGAAGGAACCCATCTGTACACACCGATACAAGTCCTGAGTTTTTAATCTATTTACAATCCGGCTGATATAGGTAGGCATTCTCCGGACACTTATCTCCTGATCAACCCTGAGGTCTGATAACCTCAAAACGACATGCCACATACGCTATCAAACGCACTGATCATCGTGACATTATTTATATTCTTCCCAACTTCAAGGTAACTCTGGATGATGAAGCATTTAGAAAGTCACGTTTGAACGACTGGATCCTGTTAAAACTAAAATGTTGTAAACTCGTTATTAATCAATCAGATCCACTCAAACTTTCAGAATATGAACTTAATTCGTATGCTGGATAAACCGATATAGTCAAAGTCGTCTATAAACTAAGAATTTACTATTCGGGGTTTCCCAGGAGATTTCAAAAAGTACTTCACAGTTTTGAGCGATGTTCTTTTCGGCGGCTAACTCAGAATAGTTTGAAAAGTGCCGGAAGTAGGATTTACAGAAAAACATGGTTTTTCATATATCAATTTACAGAAAATTATTTTTTTAAAGTAACATTTGTCTCCAAAAATATTTCAGATTAGTTGTTTTATTCAGAACTGAATGCGCTACGTTTTTAAAAAACGTTTAACTCTCACCGAAGAGAGTTTCTTCTTTCAAGGATACATTATGGTAAGTCTTTTTGGTAGACCGGATTTTTTCATAGATCGAACCTTATACGGCAAATAAATCCAAGCATTAGTTAACTTTACTTTCAGTCTCACAAGGCAAAGTTTCAGTTTTGGCTTACTCACAGTGTTGACTAGAAAATACTAATTCTGCCTCTGATGTTTTGCCTGCTTAGCGAATATATTTAAGGGTACCCCTCGTCGTTATTGACCCTCTTGAAAATCGGGGAAGCCGATGTCGGATCGGGGTGCAATTTATACCAGGAATAGAACATCAAAAAAGAAAATCGATGTACTTCGGCTGACGTGTTCTTCTATGGGTTTTCAGGAAAACTCCAGTTTTCAGTAGGACACATTACGATCCCTCGAAAAAATAGTCCGATCGAGCTCAAAATTTTACCATAGGTACTTCAGGCCCTATCTCAGGTTCTTTTTTTTCTTTCCGAAAAATATTCTTTCCTTCTCGAGATATTCGCAAAATACTAAAAGTCCCTTGTAAAAAACCGGTTTTTCATTTTGAAAACCTTCTCACGCCGAAAGTTAAAATCGAGCGTAAAAAAAAACGAGCCTGAGATAGGGTCTGAAGTATCTGTGGTAAAATTTTGAGCTCGATCAGATCATTTTTTCGAAGGGTCGTAATGTGGCCCGATTGAAGGGACTATTGAAAAAACACATTTCGAGAAAAACGCAAAACAATATTAAAGTGCAGTTTTTGCCTTAAAGATATATGTTATAGCTGTGTGTTTAGTGGACCTGTAGGTTATCGACCATACTCTATCTGATGGACATGTGCAGGAACATGTACCACATATGCTGGGCCATATGCCAGCATATTTAAAGGTATGTGGGTTTTACTCTACTGCATTATATTTCAATCTGTATAGTAGCCAGTTGCTTTTTATTATGCTTGGGCTTTCTTTCGTTCGTCAGAAGGTGTGTGTTATACATTGCATGTCATACCTAATATTGTATACTGTACTACAGAACTAATTCCACCAGCAACTATACTTGTTATTAAATCTTGTTGATTTTTTGTAAAAGAATGTTGGTTTTTTTCATTTTTTTTCTGTTTCCAATATTTATCTAATTTTTCACGTGTTATTTCTAATGCTGCAAAATAAAATGGTTCTGCTAATATAATACCAGCAAATGCAACCGTATAACCACGAAATAAACCTTTAAATAAACCTTCTTTCTTTAATATTGTGCGTCCAGCATCATATATATTTTTATACACTTGTTCTTCTTGTTGTACACATTGCATACGTGTTTTTATTAATATAAATGGATGTATTGTTGTACGAATTGACCATGATGATAAAGTAACTAGACTAATAAATTTTGTTTTATTTAGATCAGACCAATACAGTGTATTAGAATTATGTGCGTTCTTTTTATTACTCGTTAGTGAATCATTGGATTTTGATGAAGGATTTTTACTAACTTTCTTATCTTTTACCATCTTAAATAGATACAATTTGAAATTTAGAAATAAATGATTAGCAATGACATTTTCATTTCAAACAAACAAAGAAAACTGAAGTTGATAAACTATTTCTTTTCTGTTTCTTTCTACTACAAAAGATAGGCGCGCGGCAATACTGCCAAATCTCGAGTCGAGATAGCCAAAGATCAAATCTCTCTAAGAATGTTAATGGTTTTGTAAAATATTTCACATGCGACTATATAAATGCATTGATCACTGTCTTTTAAAATAAGTTAGTTTGGACAAATATATACTGGAATTTCTGTTGAATGTTTTTTGTTTTATTTGCAAATGGAATGGAGCAGCCACTGCATCGACAACGTGCCATTTGACCATTAAAGTAATACCTTTCAGCTCTTCTTGTTTATTCAGAGCATGCGTAACTTGATCACATTATAATCCAGTCGACCAGAATCAAATCGTCTCCTACTTTGTCAAACTTCTATTAAAAGGAAAAGCTAGTACGCAAGAGCTTAACGTTGCCAGATTGTAGCTGACACTTCATGATACACATGAAAAAAGTTCGGAGGTTTAGGACTTGTATCAGATGGTGCAGATATAATAACTGTTTTTTTGTCTTCTGTTCTTCGCCATACAGTATCAACCCGTGTGGAATTTTCTTTTCCCAAAAGATATGGTCTGAAATTCTCAACAAACCCATTTTTAAACTTTGATTTGAAAACTACAATCAAGAAAATTACTCAAATTCGACGAAAGTCGACCCATAGACAACTAATACTTTTTCTGGCAGTTGTCACGCATTTTATAATTAATGTTTTCAATTCGGCGTATATGGTGATGCTTTAAAGTTCCATAACAACAGCACAACGAAAGATATTTTGATCGGATTTGTTATTTCTTTTTATCAGAAATGATCACTCTTCTGTACCTGACTACAAAATCAAAAAGTCGATCATATTTTTCGTTTCTTGCTTGAGCACATTGTTGAAAACGAGGGATTGTCAGTTTCTGATATATTTTTGGAACCTTCGTTCTCGAGCACACCGTCTGCTCTAATAAACCTTTTTATAGACCACGATAAAGAGCACAAATACAACTGAGTTTTCTCTTATGCAACACCTTTTTACGGAATTAATAGCAAAAAGAAATCGTTCAACGCAAAAAAATTCCAAATTTACATAGTTTTCATTTTTCTTTGCCTTTTCTCGCATTTGCACAGTTTTCTTGATTGACGTTCTCAAATTAAAGTTTAGCTATTGTTTTGTGGCGTTCTCAAGGCGTGTCTTTTGGCAAAAGAAAATTCCAGAAAGATTGAGACGATATGGAGAAGAGCACTAAACACAAAAATAGCTGTATGTCTGGACCATCCAATAGTTTTCTAGAAAAAAAGTTTTAATTTTTTTCGGAATTTTTACCCATTTTTTAAATTTTAAATAAAATTTTTACTTTTAAGTTTGAATCTCGGTTTTGCAATCAATCGACAGAGCATCTTGAGATGTATATGCGAAAAGATTATCATTTCCGAACAAGTCTGGTGAAGAAATTTAGATTTGACCTTAAGACTGGGTTTCTGGGGCCAAACGTGTGCCTTTTCGAGATCTTGTCTGCAGTTTCTCTTCGGAGACGTACTTTACAGCGGAAATTTTAGTGTAGAAGGTGTTTATTATGCTTTTTCTGTGGGATAATACTTTGCTGTCGCTAAATTTCTGAAGTTCAATCTGTAAAACTGAAAATACTTAGACGCCGCACTGAGTAGAAAAGGCGCTCAAATTTTGACGATATTTTCTCTTTTCTGAGCCAGAAGAAAAGCTGAAGCTCATAGAACCTAGACACTTTCACTTACGAAATCGAACAGAAGTATCAAAAATTCTACAGAATAAAGATTCTCGGAGCCGGGCTTTTGAGAATCCCAAACCGTAATATCGTCCTGAACCTTGAACAAAGTTTCGCTTGAAAGAAGCACTTCCAAGGAAAAGTGTTGGTATAAAGGTTGGTCAGAATCAGATTTTCCGGAATATGAACGAGGAATTTTTCAAAATTCGTTAAACTGGATTTTTAAATTGCATTTTACGAAATTTTATAACGAAAAACGTATTTTTGTTAAACCTACGGTTTAACTAATTTTGAAAAATCTTTCGTTCATATTACAGGGATTTCAGAGCTGATTACAGAACTTTTCCTTGAAAATGCTTCCTTCAGGCTGAACGTTTAGTTCCAAGTGCTTTAAAAAATATTATTTGCTCGAAAATTCCATGAACAGATCAAAGCGGAATATCTTAGCCGAAACTTGATCGGAAACAATGAAATTTGGTTTTTAGATACGTCTTGATGTCCTCTACCGATTGATATGAAAATCGAGGTTATTAGCAGAAATTTGAAACTTTTACTGAAATTTTAAAAACAGGCCAAAATGTTGAGAAAAAACAAAAATTTTCTCAATAAAGTTACAAGTCCGCTGGTGGAAAAGTTTTTATCATATGCATTTCAGACTGTCCTATAAAAACTGGTAGAAAACCGAGTGACAGTACTCTCCCCCTAATAGAGCAAAAAATGCTTTGCAAATGGGGCGCTCACCAAAGTCTACAGGACCTCGTGTATCTTACAAAATAGATTTTTAGTAAAATTTTTGACAATGAATAATTTATAAGTTTGAAAAACAACTCGATCCATCACTCCCGTCGGAAAAATTCTAAAAAGTCACACCGCCGCCAGCGGAGGCGACAAACTTATGATCCATCCGCCTCTGTCGCCGACCGACTAAACATTTGTTCACGCAGCCGTCGATGATTTTATCGGCTAGCACACGCAGACAGAAGAAAAAAAATTTTGAAAACCGATAGGTTTTTGTTAGCAAACAAATTTTTTTCTTATACGACTGTTCAAATCTATTTTGACGGAGTTACACGCTTTCTACGAGTAGTATCGTTTTATAGTACTTTATGTACATCTTCACAAAACGCAAGATGTATTTTTTTTCTACCTCTCGAAATTGGCGGTCATTACGAGTCCCATCGTTAAATTTCGTCTGATTAAGCTGAAATTTTTTCCACAGGCACTAGATCCTATTCATCAAGGATCTCATTTATGATTCGTTTTTGAGCTTCCTTTATTGAGTTCTGGGATTTCGATAAAGCTTTTAGCATTTTTTCTATAACTTTTGAACAAAGAATATTTTTGTAAAACAACTTTGGGTGCAGTATTTGTGGTAAAAAAATTCGATCAGGTCAGACGAAGTTTTAGGATAGTGTTTTTAATGTGGGAAACTGGATTTTTTAAAAAACTCTCTGATAGTTTAATAAAATCGAAAAAATCCAGATATCCTAGAGATATGGATGAGATCAACAGCTAATAAAATTTTGAAGTCGCTCGAATACTCTCTGTTAATAAAATCTTGAACTCACGAAAGCGAGCTACCTTTAAAGTAGAAAAATTTGTACCCACCCTTGTCGGCATTCTTTGGTGTTATCAGTAATATGAAAAGGCCAGTAGTCCGAAAGTAAGAAGAATCAGTAATCGATTACCTGTCCTATAGGAAACAAAGCTTTTACTAAGTCAAGACAAGTGTAGGTTTCAAAACGAAAAAAAATACAGACAAAAAAGTAGATACATAATATTATACAACGTGTGACCTTCCCTCCATTAAAGAATGTATTCGGCCGTGATATTCGTTTTAAAGCCTAGTAAGAAAATAAAAATAAAAGAAAGCAAGAGCAAAAAAAACGAAATAAAGAATAATTTTTCTTCTTTACTCCTTTGACTATAATTTACACTAGTCGGCGTTCTGTTTATCGTTCTAAACAGAATCTAAATTCTCCTGCTGTCTTCAAGAATCTGCATCTATTGTTGTTATGGCAAAAAATCCACGTGGTCATGTGACACATGTGGTGGTACATGTGACTGAAATCATCAGTAGTCTGGACAGCAAATTAAATAGTGAGGCAAACCCGAGCTCTCTATTACAAAGTTGAGATATTTTCGTTTTACTGGAAAAGGCGCCTCATGTTCAATAGAATCCGTTCTGTTCCTGGTCACTGCCAGTTTTTCAGAAAATGTCAAGACCACATCAAGGTTTACTGTTTGTCTGATCAGTAGAAAAAAAGATTTTTTGGCCTATTTTGATCTCGTCTTGTAGTCCTCGACTGAGAGATTCCAGTTCGCTTCCTTCACGAATTTACTAGCTAGTGAATAGCTATTGGCTAGTTTTTGCCAAAACTTGAATGAAAAAATTTCGTGAGCTCCTATTCTTGCTACAAAGTATGCATAATAGTTGTAAGCTAATGTCAAAAGCTCACCGCATCGAGAAGCAAAAATTTTCGATAAAAACTAATTCTCGTTGTAACTCTAGAAACAGATACTACTATCGTCGCCAAAATACGGCGACCCTGGTTGCTTTCTGAATAACTTCTCACATGAGACAGATAGAGACCTGCGATTGTCGCTGTTCGATAGTCAAGACTTGAGCGGAACTTTTCACAAGCGAAAACAACTTTCGAAAAAATTTCAAAGCTCGGATTTCCAGAGGATCTTTGGAAAACTAGCTCCGTTCTCAGAAAACTAGCATACAATATTAGTAATTTTTTTGCATGCATACATAGTCCGGACGTTACTCTACAAAATTATGCAAGTCCCGGCTCTCCAGCTATCGTCGTTCGGACAGGACACGCTTTCCCCGAGCACGTATCTATCTCCGAGCAGACATCTCTGGGAATCTCGAAATGCCACGGAATATAGGTAATCGACTACGCTGAGCATAGTGGAACATTTGTTTTTGTGTAGAAATGAAAATAACTTCACCAGGGGCACTTTTGTGAAAAACCGGTTTTTCGCCTGGTTACTAGCCAAAATTAAAATCCTTATATCTCGATCAAATCTCATGCTGGCTCAACGAAACTTTTAGCAAAGACTTAAAAGGTGCCATATATTGTTGATCGCGCCGAAAAAGTGATCCAGCAGAGCACTGATACTTTGAGGTTTTTCAGAAGGTTTCTGGAAAACCTTAAACCAATGCCCGGCTG